GCACACAAACGCAGTGACAATATGCGTTTTGTACTACTGTTACACAGCACAAAATCTATAAAAAGCAGTTCCTCTACGATCCGTTTCGACTGTAAATTGCTACAGAGGCATTCCGGGAAATCAGAACCTCAGTCAGATGCTTCTGATTACCCCTTGAAAGAGAGGACCATCGACAACGTTATCTGGAATGGTTGCTGCTGTACGTGCTACCGCTCGAGCTACTTTAAAGCACCTTTGCACTTGACAAAAACTGAGCTGTGGAAAAATGTGCCGGCGTTTGATTTCTGGCAATAATTAATTTTCAAAATATGCAGCTTGCTGATATGAAACCTGTGGTATTGGTTGCGATCGTGTATATTCATAGCCATCTGGATTCAGGCACGGAAATATGTATATATTGAGAGATTTTAGATATTTCGTTATGACTGGATCCTTACCGAAACCAGAGACCAACTAAAAATTTTCTGGCAGTTAGCCAATATCTTCGTATATTTTCATCTTCCTAATTTTAAATCCAGAATCTTATAACAGACATCAAAAAATCAAACTGTTTTTATGTCTTAAAAAAGCACTAAAAATTGAAAGTTTGAATGAGTAAACTGAATGCGCGAAAACGATGTGCCTGGTTGATGAAATAGAGCGCTGTGTGGCTTGAAGCCCATTCTCGAGCGTGGATGTTGCCATCAATCCAGAAGGCCCGCTTGCTTGTATCGTGTATTGGATAACCGATCTGATAAAGTAAGCCATTTCCTAATTTTTTTTGCTTGATAGTTCTTGTTATGTTATGCTACCACTGTGATTAACTGAGATCAATTCAGAGTTTAGCCCAAAATGGGGTTGATTAGATCCTGACCAAATTAAAGTCTTAATTTTCATACGGTTTTCCAAATTTAACTGTGCTTGAAGCTGTGACAGACAAAATAGAAAGTGAAGTGGTAGAAGAAATATGTCAACGAGGAGCTACTGGTAGACTTTTGATAGATCTTAGACAGCGTAGGTTTTTTGCCAAAAACAATGGGGCTGCGTTAGTTTTGTAAGGCGATTATGTGGCTAATTTTAAGGATTATTTGTAAGAATCTTTTTCAGTGCTTCAAAGTACGCTTTAGTAACTACGATTATTTCAATATGAAAAAACTTAACTTTTTAAAAATCGCAAAATTTCGACTTCTACTTCGTGAGAAAAAATTGAAAAATCCAGCGTTTTTACATATGATAACATATAGCTTTCACTTTTCGCAATTTCAAACTCCAAGAATTACCTTCAGTCCTTCGATTGGAGCATCCTCGTGCGAGAGCCCGATTCGGATAAGTTTCGTAATGTGTGGGTAATAAAACTCAATTGTCCGCATGTATTTTAACATATCTTTATATGAACCGTAGTCGCCAAAATGATACTTGGCTTTCAGTTCACCGATTTTATTTAACGATTCCTCTGGAACAGAAATGATTGTGAATGGTTGCGAATAATTTGCATACACCTTGGCTTTCTCAAACTTTCTTTACAGACCAAATTATTATCTTTCCAGAAATGAATTCGGGATAGACAATAAATACAAGTAGTTCATGTACAGAATGGCCAGGGTGGACGATACTCCATGGGTATATCCCGATAACAAGATAAACTCTTAACGAATTCTCCTGACAGCCTTGCAGACCTTAGAAATAAAGCTGCCCAGCTTTTGCATTTTTCTAACTTTAATCTCAAATCTGAAAAAATCGAAGCCTCGTTTTTGTTTACTTTCTCCTCTGCTTCCTAACACGCTTTCGCTGCACACGATATTTAGATTGGTTCCTTATCTCATCGCAATATTCTATGAGGAGCACCTGAAAGAATCAAAAATTTCATCTTAGTCTTATCAAAAATTAGAAATTTAAAATTTTTTAGGTCCTAGAGCATATTGAGGCATCGTTATGAAGTCATAGAAAGAAGGCTGCTTGATAAAAATGTGCCAAGAATTTTTCAACACTCGGATACGTTGAGTAAGAACATTAAAAAAACTGAATTCAGTCTGTTTTTCGTGGGAAAGCAAGCAGTGTATCAAGGTAACGCCTATGATGCTAAGGTATGTGAACTAGTTTTAAATCCAGTATGGTTAGAAATGACATTGATCAGACTGATGTAATGGTGCAAACCGGCGCCATCGGCTTCTTCGTCCAGGATTGGATCATCTTTCGAACGGGCAAAAAATGATTCCAATAAATTGTTGCGCTGTTTCGTCGTTTTTGTAGCGTCATTCGCATTTCTCGGATACACTTCATTACGTTCAATTAGGCTAAAAATTATAACATACATTCTTCAGCTCAGTGACATGGCCAACGATTTACCGCAGCTCCCTGAAAAAAGCTGCCATGTGCTGCTGCATGGTAAGCAGCATATGATAAACTTTTTTTCCTCGTTGAACAGTATTCTAATTCTTTTATCCATTATGCATATTTTCAGTTGTTAAAGTGATAAATAATAAATTTAGGAAAAGTTTGCCAAAAGTCACTCCAGGAAGTTTCCAAAACTACCTCGCCCTATCAAAAATTTCTCCTCTTTTTTTAGCTTCGTTTGCATTTCATTTTAAAGGACGTGGAACTACCGGCAGAGGTGTAAAAAAAAATAGTTAATTTTCTTCAAAACTGCAACTGCACATAGTGCCTTTGTCTTTAACTGCTAAAAAAATGAAAGCAAAAGTGAAAAAGTGCTGATTTAATTCGGTTCGTCACATTATCTTTACAAATTAACAATGTTTCGAAAACTGGCTGTTTTAAATTTGCTGTTGATAATGAAATCACTGGTAAGGGAGAGGAGGGGACGGGGATAAAGGTTGCGAAGGGAAGGAACTGCTGAAAAGTTTGTCGAAGGAGGGAAATTATTTCTTACTCTTTTTTTTTCGAAGGGGCAACGATAAGTGCGCCTTCAAAAAAGGTAAGAAATAATTTTTCTCCTTTGACAAATACCCACTGGTAAAAAAAAATAAACAAATTAACAAACAAAGACGCTGAAGTACTGACTAAAAAAGAAGGGATTTTTAAAGCTAATATGGAAATAAGCACCTCCAGGAACGAGCATAAGTTTTTGCACAGTTTCGCATTTTGCATGAGAATTGAATATAGAAAAGTTCCCTACAGACCTTATGTTGTACAGGGAAAATTTTTATTATTACGGAAAATTTTTATTATTTATCCTCCTTATTTACACGTACTTAGACTTAAAAATTTTTTATATAAGTTTCACCAAAATCACTAATTGGAATTCATTCTCTATTATTTAGTCAGTCCGTGCTCTTTTCCCTTTCTCTTTAAAATTCTTCTAAATTTATCCTCTTCTTGTCTTTTCAACTTATAACTTACTTCTTTACACATTATAACCCATTTCCCTAAAGAATCTATTTTATTTCATACATTTACTTTGT